TTTTCTTTAAATCAATAGGTACAGCTTTTAAAAGAATTACTGAAAATAATGGCATCAAATGTTATCACTTGTATGATCATACACAATCTTTAATTTTTATCATCGACGTTCTTTTCAAACCTCTATGGTATAGTTAGTAACGGGTCAAATTAAATACTGCAAGTATATTGGCATAAAATGCCTAGTGGGCTTTTACAATTTTGAAGAATATGACGAAATTATTTTATTCTTCTATTAATTTTGCAAGGCATAAAACTTGAAGCCCCAATGTGTTTCATGGAGGTGTAAACCGCTTCTAGAAGAGGAACAAGCCTCACCTTGAGGCGCCTAGGCAACATTTGCATATTAATGTCATACACCAGCTCAATCCTCAAAATTTCGATAGCCTATAGCAATTGCACGCCTAAGGAAAATGTGATTATGGTCTTCAACATCACTTTTACAACAGCACACACAAACATGCATGCACCAGTTGATTAAAAAAAGCAATTCAGAAATCTCTTTTGGATAATATTTTCCAAATTCCCGACACCTTTGCCAAAAAAACCAAATGAAAAGGAACTCAACCTTTTTAGGGTACCTTTACTTCCACAGTAGTAATATCAGGCTTATACAAATTCTTGTGTTTGGTTGTACGGAAGAAATATATGCTTGAAAGAAAAGGCACCCAAGCTCTCTAAGCTTCATATATATCAAGCATTCTATGCTTCATATATATCTTTCTTGAGCAGTAGGAGGTTGTGTTCCCATGTAAAGAAGTGAGCTCAACTCGTGCACAAATTCCCACTTCTTAGAGCCATATTTTCCTTAGTGATGAGTAATGTTTATTTTTTTCCTTGTGGTGGACGAATTTTTTTCATCTATTGTTCTTTGTCGTAATTATCCATTGACTTTAATATTGCTATGCAAGTAATGAAAAAATAACAAGCGGTAACTAGTAATAAAATACCGGATAAAAAAATTCATGAAAATTCCCGGCTAACGAAATCATAAAAAAAATTCATGAAAATTCATCTTAAAAAAAGTCTCATAGACAATTCATTTTTACATTCCAACCATAAGCAACTTCTTAACGAATTTTTTGGGCATTCAAAATATCAAGAGCATAAAAGTCATATTTAGACAGTGGCCTCTAAAGATAAATTGTCGATGCTCCATCCTTGAAAAATTGCTCAATCATTTGTTACCTTGTAGGAAACAGGCTAATGGCCTCTACCATGATTATAAGTGTCACTTTATCAATTGATAAACAAAAGTACATAAAAGACGATAAATAGCTGCTTAAAATCATATAGTATACATCATATACATGTAAACACAGTATGTGACACAACTTATGAAGTGGAAACATTAACTAGAGATGTGAAGTGATTGATATTTTTTCGATCAACTTAGACGACACCATGCTGAAAAGTGTGAAATACAGCGGCATAACATAAATATCCACATTAGTACATCATAAACATAAATAGTCCCTCAATCAAAATCCAGTGATGGCCAGCTTTTTTTTTTTATTGCTAGTCATCGTCAACTGAACAACTCATAACTAAAAGAATACTCGGGTAAAAGACGGAATCAACTCCAGGACGTTGTAGTCGCCTAAAATTCCCACTGACGCCCTTTCCCAAAAAATCGAGTCATCCAAATCAAAACACGACAATCAAACTACGCTAATCGCTAGTTGTGCATACGAATAAGTGCAATGGTCTGATAATATCCGTCAGAAAGCGGCAAAGAACTCGGAATGCATGTAAATACTCATCAAGAAGAAAAATAAAGATAAGAAAATGAAAACTAACAGGCTCGGAGTCGAGTTTAATAGAGGGACCGAAGGAGCCCTCGCCGGAAAGAAGTTGCCGCAGCCTCGACGGCAAGCTTGATCTTTGCGCAGTCATCTCACCTCGACTTCTCGACTTTCAACTACTGAACAAAAGACAGAGAAAATTACGAATGAAGAAACAGCAATAAATGATAGAATCAAACAGCGCAGCAGGAGCATCAAAAACCCTAGACACTCGAATCAAAATAATTGCATTGGATAGAAAATAAAGAGATGAACTGAGTGAGTTACAGAGAAAGCGAGAGAGAGAAGGAGGGGCAACCTGAGGGAGAAGATGGAATGGGAGCGGAGGCGCGCACATCCGATAATTGGTGAGAGTTGAACAGCAACAGGCAAATCGATGGGTTTGAGAGCGAGAGCGAGAGAGAGAGAGAGATAGAGAGAGGTGGAAACCACGAAACGATGGGGAGAGGGGAGAAGAGAGAGAGCGGGTGGGGTTCGCGAGTCGCTGTGTTGTTGCGTATAAATTTCTATAGTTCT